GCCCAGTTGTCAAGCACTACAAAAGAGTACTAATCAGTTGAACTATATGCAAAGTGTTATTCAAACGTTATAAGTACATTGAGATATTGAAGGTATTATGAACATTTATTGTTCATATTACCTCTGTAGTGCTACCATCATTGTATGTTTTTTAACGGTTTAACTAAAGATAACAACCGTGTATCTATATTAGAAAAACGCCCGTGTACAATACAGATCATAAGCTAAAAATTACCCCTAAAGTTTTATTAGCAATAAACTCTCTCACCGCATGGATATCAAGTCCAATTTCTATCAGAACTATCCGCATGTGCAGGGAGTTCCTGAGCCTTTAACTAGACAAAATAGAGGGGGGCAAAATGGGAATTTTGCCCCTATTGTGTGGCTCAGAAACACCCGTGGCATTCAGGTGGTTCTTATAAGATGAGCAATCATAGATGTCACGTGACTTTATTTTATTACAAAGAAATCATCTGATTACATTGAATTGTATTGTAGACGGACTCCTAATTCTTTTGGTTTAATTGCACAAGTTTACCCAGCCTTACACTTAAATGACCTCTTTTTTCAAACCGAACAAAAACTTGCCTCAAGTATTTAAGTTTTGCAGATAATTAAATACCCCAAAGCTTTAAAATATTACACATTAGGATCCTCTTGTTTACTCGGTATTGCATATAAGTGCCTCAAATTTTATAAAGGGAGTTGGCAGGCTAAAAGTTTATGAAAGTTAATGAAAGATAAGCGGATCTACTTCGAGGCTAAAAGTTTATGAAAGTTAATCCACTCGCACGAAAACTAACATCAGTACCATAAAAACCAATCAGTTCAGTTCCGAAAAGAATAACAAACACCATTTCTTCGTCATGAAATCCAAGCCCGTCCCGTTTTCATCTCTGACACAGCAAGCTGCCACACGCGCCCGGTGGAGTTGGCAGTGGCTGCGGTTGCTCCATGAAATCAAACATGTCAACTGGAAAATCATCAAAGAAGCTGTCAGGAGCCCCAGCAGAATGGCCTTCATCAATCTTCACACTGCTCGTGCCGTCTCCCAACCCCAAAAATGGCATATTTTCAGTTATCTGCAGGAAGCTCGAATTGTCCTCGAAACCCGTGTCCTCGAATTGTTGGATGAGCCTGTCAGAGCCCTCAAGAAGCAGGGGAAAGTCTAATTCAGGGTTTGGCAGGTTTTCTAACTGTAACTGCGGCGGCTCCCAGTTCAATTGTGGTTCGAGAAGTGGCATGGTCGACGGGTTCAGTACGTGATTATCAGCTGGCATCTGATGCAAACTTTGCTGCTCACGATTACTGTCGACGTAGGATAGCTGGTTGCTTTCGACACTTTCTTCTTCAGATGGAATTAGATCGAGGGAAGCAACCTGATCAAGATACGCATTACATGTAATACTTGCAACAGAAACTTCAACAGGAAATCATATCGATCGATTTGTACTTGTCTTTATGAACATTGAATTTCAGTCAGAGGAAAACTAAAAAACCTTACAAACATTGTAGTATGGGTTGAG